ATAACGATTGAACAAAGAAAATGCGATAACCGTCTCCTACGCTTGCACGGATAGTCGTTGCCTTTCCGGTCGTCCTCTGTTCAGTGATCTGCCCGGTTGCATCTACTTGACCTCACTAATACTCTCCACAGACGACAGTAATGAACACACCTCGAAGGACTGTCCTTTTATCCTCCATGTAGGACTGTTCATCGCTGAGCATACCGAGCACCTGACACGGGCTACCTCTCAGTCGACAGCCACCAAGTACTATCACAGTACTGTCCGTCGTTGCCAAAGAGAAAAACTGCTGAAAAATGATAGAGAGATTACTTGCAATACAGCAGCCTTTGGGTAGGTGTCTCTATCCGGGTCCATGAGCTTCACATTAGAGTAATCAGCGGCCAGGCGAGTGCGAAGATCCATTAACAGGCAGAATATCAAAGGCGTGCTGCTCCTCTCAGGTTACTAGGAAAACCTTCTCACACAGTCCAACGGGCTCAAATCTCAACCATACTGTTGCACAATGTTGGAATATGTTTCGAGCTCCGGAGTTTCCAGAGCCACATGATGTAAATTTACACACGACTTAGAGCAGAATTACATGAGAACCACCAAAAATTTACCGAAATTTCCTCACAATTTCCTCGTTGTCATCAACACGTTTCATATGTTCTGCCCTTGTATTGAGTGACTGTCACAGCGAACAAGACTAAGCTGCTGTACACGGTGGATGACGACTATGCTCTCTGCTTGCCTCCCCTGATAGCTCCATTCGCATCATGCTCTAACAACTGCTTTTCAAAAGCAGAATTGGGTTCTGCCATAGGACGCACCTGAGGTATCCCGTCTGAACCACCAAGTCCAACAGGTACGCACCGCGACCACCATCTTCAGAGCCGACTCGTAGTCGATATCCAAATGCCGCATTAGATAGCTCACCAACACTATCACACTACGACTCTGATGAGATGACTGCTATGCTTCGTCCAGCGATCCTTACCTGGCCCATGATACAATGTATGAGGATGTTCCCATCGGCATGTTTATGCGCATCGTCTATGAAGTCCCAAGCCTTCTTCAAATAGGGTATTCCCAATATCTGCTGCTCATTGTCCCTCAGGGGGATCCTGCAGTACCTATCCAATCGTGTACTTCGAATTTTCCTTACGACCGCTCCTACCGAAAATCAGGATCAACCTCGTGGTAGTTGCGTACGCCACCCTCGAGGTACTCCACAGTGCAATTGACTACATACCTGCATTATCAATCTGATAGTGAAGACACCAGCCGTTTTCTACTTTATCCCAGCAGCCACCAGCCTGCCTTTGTCACTTGCATCTCGCCGGTTACCGATCCACAGCCAACTGAACGATCGCTTATACTCGAGCGAATAATGTCCTGTAACGATTTCTCTCAGAAAACTCAGATGATAGAATTTATGGAGAATTTCTTCGTGCTTCCTTTAGGCTTCTATAACACTTCTCGAGCCCTCCTTTGTCATAGGAGCGACCGATGGAGAACAGAAGTCGATTCCCTCTACCCAGATCTTACTTTAATGTAGGTATGGGGGCCATGACGTTCTGTCCCATGGGAGCGACGAAAGGCGGCTGGCTGGTGCCTAAATACGACTCCCTCACCTCACAGAGTGAGACTACACAAATGCCACAGTGGTTACTACCAGACTCCGCCATCCAGCTTTGAGTGACAACTGCATGACTGTCCTTGACGTTGTTAGAAAGGAATCTGCCGCAGATAAAATACTTCGACTTCGATACCCAATCCTCACCGGGCTTGCTCCACCACTCTGATTGGTATGTGATGCGGGGCATTGCTTGCCAAGACGGCCTTCTCCTGCTCCGTGAGGTCACCTGTTACCGAACCACCTGCTATACTGCTGACACCATAGCGCTACATTCCGCTTCTCTAACTGGGACCTCTCCCGCGCCTTTTCCCTGCTGAAATCCACACCCTAGCGGTGGCACCCTCAAGAGCAACTCACCGACTCTATAGACCCTCCCAAGGCGGATGTGAACTTCCTCAAAGACTGCATCCGATCGTCGCTTGCAAGCCGTTTCACTGGAAGCACTTTTGACGTTGACGACCGCCTCAAACTTACCGAGTTCATTGCTGCCGGGACGAGAGGACTTCAGCATTTCCTTAGCTTGATCCGCGTTGCGTCGTTCGGCCTCATCCAAGAGCTCCGTGATTGCATCATTTCCCCAATCGGCGGCTACGAGATACGGCGTTCTTCCTCTAGAGGAAGCACACTCATAATAAGGCCACTCAGTAATATAATCATCACCATGTGCGACACAGGAGAAATCTTTCAGAGCTCTCATCGAGCCGAACGGCAGCGCTATGCTACCATGACGAATCTATTTCACCCGGGTTGATCATTCCAGGACGTGCGGTTCCCTCGGGTGAGCTCAGAAGTTTCCTCACTACGTTATTGAAATTTACACACGAATGTGGGTAGAAGTGTACGAAAACTAACAAGAATTCCTTAAGACCTCCTCAGAATTTACACGTTCCCGACAATACGTGTGGTTGACCATATGCACATTTTCCCACACTGTTGAATAGCCGCAGTAACGGTCACGTTCACAAGAAATTGCGAGTTAACTCACAGGCTATTCTCGACGCTAAGGTCAGCCTTATAGTCCACCAGTAACTGCGCTGCTTCTTCATTACCTACTCACAACCCTTGGTGTCACCAACGGGCATGTAAGTGTATCACCAACGAATGACGCCCAATGCAGAGGAGTCCACGCTTCGTTGTCCTTGCCGTTGAGACCTGGGCAGCCCTTCGCCAACAACATGGTCAGCACCTTGACTGCAGTTTGCTCCCTCCTTAACGATTCTCTGGCCTACCTCGAGCCCTTCGTCGGTCTCACAGTTGAAGACTGCTAAATGTAATGGATTGCGGTTATACTCGTCAACACCAGTGAGGCGACAGGTCTCCTCTCTGATGGCAGTCTTGGCTTGGTCGAGCTCGCCTCTTCCTAGTAACAGGACCTACCCATACGAGTGCTTTTTCATTATTAGATTCCCAGAAAATAATTGGATACCACACCAGCGACGAATCTCATTCATCGAGGAACTCCAACGCACCAGTTCATTTTCCGATAAGCCCATTGAGGCTCTATTGTTCTGTTCCTTCACACAGTAGTCAACTATATACCCCAGAGGATCGCCGGGCTGGGCTTTCGCCAACTTATGGACGATAAGGCCCACCAAGGATGCTACGTTGTGCTCCTCCATATAGGTTTGGACCGAGCTGTTGTAGCTGAGATGACACTAAACTTGACGGAGACTCAAATACCACGGAAATGGCCTACGTGTGAATTCATTTTTACTCACGCACACTAACTCTTGGTCGCTGTCTGCGTTCTATAAACTGATCACTGCTCCTCTCACGATGGGGAGGCGGAGCAATGATGTTTTTACACTCTTTAGCATGATCAGATCGTGATAAGAGCGTAATAGGGTATTCATCCAATATGCATTAATATAGGGACTTCATTTTCACGGTGAATTTGCTTTTCCAACTCATTCGGAGCTTCTAGACAAATTTCCCTATGTGCTTCGGTACGTCATTGGAGGAAAAGGTTTCTAATTCGCTGGGGTTTACCACACACGAGCGAAATCACTAGAGAAAATCGATGCTAAGGGCGCGGGCCCAACCTGTCCTTAATATGATTAGCTATGGCTTCCCGTAAGCCATGCAAGTCGGCCATCTGGCAGTAGTCTCGGAAGTTGCACGTGTTGTCCTCAGAGTCCAGCTCCAAGAGGGACACGAAGGAGTTGGTCATTTCATTGTTGATGACAGGTAGGTTTATGAACTTCGTTGTATCCTTGTAGTTGGGCAGTAGCATCAACTTATTATCTACACAAGATGCAAAATGTAGCATTCGGGTATACCAGGAAGCAAATTATGGTACACGCGAAACTCCGCTGTGAATTAGATTGTGTTCAGGGGTAGTAATAGGAGTCAACAGTGATTCTAGAATCTCATTTTTCCTCACAAAGAACAGTTATGTTGGGCTCACGCCAGACTGTGGTAGACTCCCTAGCGTTTGAGCAACGACTCACCATCGTCGTCCGCGAAGCTGACGCTTCTGAAAGCGCGTGTGAGCCTTTCCGTCTTGTCGGCCGACAACCATGTCGAATGATTCACTGGCCTCCCAGGCATTGTCCTGAGGCTCTTGGCTAACCTTCGGAAAGGGTACACACGGTATTGACAAATGCACAACTCAACACTTCTCCTTCGGCAACTTCACGTGAGGAAATTCATCGACACTGTCAACTGGGAAGTGTGGGCGTTCACCTAATGCTTCACATACCAGAGACGATAGCTCGGCGTGAAGCTCGATAGACCTCTCCTCATCTTCAAGAGCGCCCCCAGACTTTGATTCCACATGTAAAACTCGATCCTTGGAAAGCTTTTCGGACTCTGGAGAAGTCCAGGCGAGCTCCAAGAGAAAATGCTAATCTTGCGCACTACGGTTTTCTCACCGTCTCGGAACTGCGCAAAGTGGACGACTTGATGAGGTTCCTCCGATCTCTATCAGTTGATTTTGGATGAAGAATCATCCCCTCCTTCTAGCCGCACTTATCGTGGCCATTGTCGGGTTAGCGCTGTGTGTTTGTGCTAAGATATTTAAACGTAAGTTGGTTACACTCTCTGACAGTCATTCTATTTCAACCCTCAGGCTTGTGTCTTCTTTTGTGTTTTCTTGGCCTTGTAGCTCTCGGGGTTGCCATATGGTTATTTCATACTTCTCAATTAAGTGTCAAAATCGATGTGGAAACGCCATGGACAACCTAACTGTGATTGTTCTGTGATCAAGCTCATGTTATGTTTACACCCAAGTGAAAACACAAAAAGGCTTCTCTGTTATGTCTACGAGGAATCACACTCTAAAGCATCATTAAGTTCATACACTCTCACTTCAGTGCAAACATGCACATTCGAACGCTGAGGCAACGACTAAAAAGAATAAATGCGTTTTTGTGCTCTCCAACACAGCAGAGAGCTGCTTAGGAGTAACGTTTCAATTGAGTTCCATAAGTCAGTTTTCACTGTACTTGTTCCAACTCGTTGTCGACCTCAATAACGGACCAATTCCATGTCACATGGACCATGTGTGAATACTCGAACAACACCATAGCCTGAAATTGCAACAGGCAAGCCCGTAAACACCGGGCGCCGTAAAACATTGAGGTTTGCCAATATGACAACTACGAGGACGCATCCGTACGGTATACAATAGAGGTATCACATGGAGTAGCTACTCTGCTACTCTGGGATCCAACATCCAAGAGGCAGCAGCATGACTAAAACCCCGACACCGCTAGCATGTTCTGCACATCATCACAATCTTCATCGGCCCTTTCTACTAGACTTACCGCATCCACAACATCAGATGAGAAAGAACAGGGCAATAACGGCAGCGGTGCTCGCTGACAGACGAGCTGCTAGCGTCGTCTGCTTGAACAACTTCCTCTCAATGATCCAATCTAGTTTCGTTTCTTCTCAATCATTGAAAACCTATGAGACAAGTGGTCGATACGAATATTCACTCAGAGCACGGCAAGACAAGTTCGGCAACCAAGAGGACTCACCTGCTCGTAGTGAGACAGGACTCCCGGACTGGGCGATGCGGTGGAGGTGGTCAGCGGATAGTTGACTCGCATTTTCAGTTGCTGCGGATTGCCTACATCTCGATTCGGCCACTAGCGCATTGAGTCAATGGTAAAACTCCAACACAACAGGCCTAAAGCTACGAGGGCATCTTCGGTACGAATCTCATCAATACCGATCGAAGGATTAACCAAAAACAGACACCCATTCTCTCAGTCAGGATTAATTGTTCGAGAGCCTTTCGAGGCGAACTCTATTGCTACCGATAAAAGGACTGGCTAAAAGCGGACACTTCTCCCTTGAGTTCAGGTTTGAATAGTACAAGAACTTTCTCGGGCCAGATCTAATTGCCGAGAGGTGAACCACATCAGAAACCCCTCTACTAGTGTCAGCAACATTTACATCAGCAAAGGAGGTGCTTCTCTAATAAAGATTCGATAAGTCTTAAGTCGCCTTCTGTACTCAGTCGATGGTCACCGCCTTCAACCAAATGCAAGGTGCCCATAGGTAGGAGTTCTGCAAGTGTTTTCGCGATCTCCACTCCAATAGACTCATCCTTGGTTCCATGGACAACCTCGACCGGCAGATGAATGTCCTTCAAGTTTGTGATGTAGTTCGCCTGGAGATCACTAAGAAACATCTTGGGCAGCTTGTAGCTCTCATCATTATCGGCGTATGGTGAACCGACATAGACCCAGTCACTCGAGTCTTCTTTCAGCCAGTTTTCACCAGGATTGAAAGTGCCACCAACAGAGACGATCGCCCCGATGAGATTCGGATAGCCAAGCGCCAACCGGAGAGCAAAATGGCACCCCATTGAGGCTGCCAGTACAACTGCGGGCCTCTCTGACGATGCTACATCCAACAGTGCATCTCTGGCGGCAGCATACATACTTGAATATCTCAGCTCTTCTGAACAGTCCCAGTTGGGATAGTTGTACAGTTTGCACGGAAGGTTGTGTCGTGCTAGGAGGCCTCGCAACATCATAGCTTTCCGCCCTCCACAATTACTGCACAGTCCAGGAATATACAGACCACACGACATGGTTGAGGGTATAAAAACGAAAACGAAAACACTGTGACAGAGGCACCTACCGAATACTGTCTCAGCATTATGAGTTTCCTCTTTCTCCTCCGAACGACAGGGTAATTGTCTAGAAAACTTCCGACTGAACTTCAGTCATTGCAACTGCAAACCCTCATCACATTATCACTAGAACAACCCAATAAGACGGCATCGTATATTTAAAGTAAAGTGACCTAGTGCTTGTGATAGAGCACAGATCCATGAACCACGATCAACAGAGCTTCTGGAGCCTCCAGACTGGAGGTTGATGCTCCATGCCGCGGAGTACTAAGCGATCGAGTACATTTATCGAGTCACCAGACTGAAGCTGGTACAACTCAACACGACACGCGAGCTACACCTGGGCACGACTCTAATGTTACGTGGACGATTTATCGAAGAGTGAACAATTATAATACTCAATGAGTACTATAATCAGCTCACACTTTGACTGCAGTGACTCAGGTGAACTCAATGACCCCTGTGATGAAATTGATAGTGGTTGTGATACTTGGATAATCTCAACGAAGTGGTGTAGAGTGCACCGATAACTCAAGTATTATATAGGTACTACTCATAATACTTATGTCTAACTCGTCGCATCGCACAGCATATAATGCCACGCTGATCAATCACCATCACGGTAACTATGATACGCAGCTGAACGACTCGCGGGTGTTGGATAAAGAAGCCGAGGAGATTCTATCACGAGGGTACCTGAGGCAGCAGACTCAATCATGCCGTGAAAGACGAACGAGCATGAGCTCGACATCATACCAGAGCTAGGGGTACTACCAAGAGTCTCGGTCCAAGACGTACGGGCCAAAGATGCAGTTACCGAGTAAAGTAGACGCAGTGGTTCTAGTCACACAGATGACTAGAGATGTAGCTCGACCATTATCATAGACTGATAATATAGTCGCTAGATGAAGTAGACGCAGTGGTTCTAGTCACACAGATGACTAGAAATGTAGCTCGACCATTATCATAGACTGATAATATAGTCGCTAGATGAAGTAGACGCAGTGGTTCTAGTCACGCAGATGACTAGAAATGTAGCTCGACCATTATCATAGACTGATAATATAGTCGCTAGATGAAGTAGACGCAGTGGTTCTAGTCACGCAGATGACTAGAAATGTAGCTCGACCATTATCATAGACTGATAATAAAGTCGTTAGATGAAGTAGACGCAGTGGTTCTAGTCGCCAAGCACTGCTCGAGGCCGCGTGCAACAGTGAGCTCCTAAATTCTCATAATCGCAACGCGTTTTCTACGAGTCGATGAATGAGACGCATCGGAGACTCCGAATCTCGCAGAGACAGCGATGCTGAACTGTTCGAGAGTTATGCAGGTCGCAGGAACCTTGGTAGACTACGCGTGAGCGTAAGAATGGCGAGTGCGCAAGATGAGTATCTTCGCGTGACGTATCCAACGGCTTCGGATTCCGCAACGTATCCGTAACGGTCGCGCAATCGTTCTTTATTACAGTCACTGATTCAGTCTCTGTAACACTCCCTGAATACATCGGGGCATCTCCAGCATCGGGGTGCGAAGGGGTTGCCTATCGGACAGGGAATACTTCATGCGCCAACACTTCTTCAACAGAGTTCAGTGCATGCCGTCTGGATAATACCAGGCCGAGCAGAAATCACCCAAGATGATAAGATCTCCTCAGCAGCGACATGATGCACTAGCCACGAGTGGAAAAGACAGTAATTAGTATTGCGCTAGCATCTGTTGAGGCGACCAATCCAGCATTCAATCTGGATTCTCCAAGGCCCCAACGCAGCGAGGACGGCTGTAGCCTTGGAAATCAGCAACGCCACACCAGTCTTTACCACGCGGCAGACAGCATGGAATCGAACATCGTTTGTTGACAGCTCCTTCACCGTCCTCGCTGTAGCCCTCTCACGGCTCAGTTTACCTGAGGTCCGAGCCCACGGCTGAGCTCAGTCTAAAGGTGGCGACTTCCGGAGTATTCACTGAGATGTTCTCGCCATGAAAAAAACTGCCGATAATTGAGCACTTCACAACTCGATAAAACTGATACTATGGAATCAATCTCTAATAAGGGTCAAATGACGTTAATCAGGATGGTTATACTCAAGAAAGTCAACATGTAAGTGTATCACGGAATCAGCGGAATGATCAACCACTGACCTTTCCCAAGATGGACCCAGCATGCGGAATATTTCTCTCTGTGTAAATAAGAGCGCACGATGCGATAACCACTCCGCCGACGATAAAGGGAACTGCACACGGCAGCAGCTATCGAGTTCAATGATCTTCCGTTCGCTCACCATTATTCTTCATCCAGGGATTCTCACCCGCGGTTCCCTTGCCAACCGCGCACATCCTCAAGAAGAATCTACGGAACATTTCAAAGATATGATAGCTGTATAGTTGTAATCGTTCCCATATCAACTGTAGTACTCAAGATTGCAAGTTCGTGAGAAACGAAGAAATACATGCTGAAAACGCTCAATCAGGTGCTCAATGAGGACAACAAAGAACAACCAACTCGACTACCTACCTGAGCTCAGGAGAGATATCTGATTCGGAGGTAAAACGTTGTAAGTTGGAGAAAGCATACTATGCTCAGATGATCTGAGCATACTATTCTTTCTCCAACTTAGCCGTCTTACTTGGCAACTTAGCTCGTTCATGCTCATAAAGAGGATAAGCAGTTTTCGATACAAACCTTCGGCGCGTGTCAGCTTATCGAGAGCGACTGGATAATTGTTCATGATAAACTCAAAGACACCTGTGCCAGTTAATCTTATACGAATAACCCCAGCAGCATTCTAATGGCGAATACCATGTTTTGAGCATGCTTGCATTACCCGACATAGAGCCCTCATAAGCTTCCGCTCCAATGACTATCGTAATGTACTTGGCACATAGCGAGAACTATCCGTGCGTACCTTTCTGCTCACCGCAGCCTGTAGATTCCGTGATATCTGTTGATTGACCATTTGCAAACGAGCCCGAACGAGAAGCTAACGGACCTTAAACCGGTTTGTTCTCGACGAACTAAGCGTAAACACATCACAATTCAGTTTCGCACGCCCAGGCTCGCTCTGCCGAGACCAGTGGAATTTCCAAGACCTGCATCGCGGAATGTAGTCGGAATCATCCGGAATCGACTTTATGAATCTACACGGGAACTGCAAAGTCCCACCAATTATTATAGCTATGGATTGATGATGATAATGATACTATCATGCAAGTAAAGGTCTATTGATGAATATGCCCTCGTGTCGTTCCGTCCGATTATCGGATTATTCTGTACTATCCAAGCGGAGACTATCGGAATCTTGCCCTCCCCTGCCTGTGCTTTCTAGGCTTACCTCTCCCGACCATTGGTGAGCTCGGTGGCCTTCCGATGGAATCCGATAAAGTCGTCTCGAGCAGTACTGACGGTAGCGATGGGAAACCTGATGCCTCAGCCTGTCCTGTTGCTGCATCGTCTTCACCGTCATCAATACATTCAAAGAGAAGGGATAATTTCATGGGACGCTCCGCGGCTCCTCCACGATAGGGGTTACTGGCTGCAGTGTTAAAGCTATGCCTATGGCCATTCAAAATGCCCCATCAATGGTATGTGCAACCCAACCGGAGGTTACAGTTCCGCGCCGAATTCACGATGAGTTCGAGATGCTACTTGCAGCAGCAACTCTGCACGCACCGAAAACTTTCTTCGATCATTATCGATCAGCAGGGCGCGCGCGAGTAACGAGAGTTGAAACGGCCAGTGGCAAATTGGGCCCAACTCCACTTTGGGAATGATTTAGAGCTCGTAAGCGTGCCGCGTGAAGCCGAGGTACCTGTCAGCGTGATATCGTACTCGAACCCTTCCGTAATGACTAGCCTAAGTGAACAGATGAAGGCCCTGGAGCCCAAGGAGGACCTGCTAAAGGAGAACCCTCATCGTTACGTTATGTTCCCCATCAAGTATCTCGCCATCTGGGAGATGTAGGAGTCTGATTATACATCCACTCGACGCTCATGTATATGTCCTGCGAGTTTTGAGATTTTCGAGTTCGGCTGTAAAGCGCTGCACAAACGTATCTTTATCCTTGCCGTGATGGTCCTGGTAGGTACAAGAAACACGAGGCATCGTTCTGGACGGCCGAGGAAATCGATCTGAGTCAGGATCTCAGAGATTGGGAGAACTTATCGGACAACGACCGTCACTTCATCAGCCACGTAGGATCCTTTCACCTGCTCGTCAAGTTGGCACGTCTTGTTACTGCTAGGTCTTGGCCTTTTTCGCTGCTAGTGACGGTATCGTGCTGGAGAACCTTTCGGCTAAGTTCTCTGGAGAAGTTCAATGTCCTGAGGCTCGCGCCTTCTATGGTTTCCAAATAGCGATGGAGAACATCCACTCGGAGACGTGCGTCTGCTTTTCTTCCCCATTCCTCTATCGATTCTTGTCAGGTATTCATTGTTAATTGACAATTATATCAAAGATCCAGCGGAGAAAGATAAGATCTTTCGCGCCATCGAGACTGTTCCTAGCGTGAGGAAGAAGGCTGAGTGGGCCCTGTCGTGGATCAATGACGACAACTGTTTCTCTGAGAGATTGGTCAGTCAGCCAATATGGTATTCATCTCGTTGTACTGTATTCCTTGTCTCAGATTGCATTCGCATGTGTTGAGGGTATCCTGTTCTCTGGCTCCTTCTGCGCTATCTACTGGCTGAAGAAGAGGGGATTGATGCCTGGCCTGACCTTTTCCAACGAGCTCATCTCTCGTGACGAAGGTGGACGTGTCGCTCCCCACGGCGTCTGTTCTTTGATACTCCTCAGGCCTGCATGCTGACTTTGCTTGCCTACTGTATAATATGATGCACTATACGCGTCTCCCGGACGAGCGGGTCCATGAGATCGTCAGGGTAAGTCTAGTGGTGGTTTTATTGCATTTCCTGATCTCCGTTCTCAGGGTGCCGTTGACGTCGAGAGAGTTTTCATCTCGGAGTCGTTACCGGTGTCTCTGATCGGTATGAACAGCCAACTCATGTGCCGCTATATCGAGTTCGTGGCTGATCGTCTCCTTGTGGTGAGTACTCCTTCTTATAATGTCGTCCAAACTCTGCGCAGGCGCTTGGGCATCCCAAGTTATACAACGCCACGAATCCTTTTGATTGGATGAAGATGATTTCTCTACAAGGCAAGACCAACTTCTTCGAGAAGAGAGTTGGTGAGAGTCGTGCTCTGCTCAACTATATTGAAGTCAATCGTCTGTCAATCGTAGGTGAGTACCAGAAAGGAGGGGTTATGGCTGGTACTGCTGCACATAAGAACGGTAGCATGGATGCTGAGGAGAGAAGAAAGAGCATCGGCGCTGATTTCGCCTTGGACGAGGATTTTTAACATTTGCTTCGAAAATGTAGCTCTGTTGTTGCCGGCACTACCCCATTATGCGTATGTTGATGATATTACCAGTTTTCATAGTAGCTGGTCGTTAATGGCTCATACCATCTCTTCAGCAACAATTGCAAAATTAGTACTGTACTGCCGTATGCAGTAGTCGAGACGTCTCAATCTCGCCGTGTGACCCGTACGAAAGTACCGGGCCAGTGGTTGCTCGTGCATGTTTATAATCAACCATGGAGGTTTCAGTGATTTGTTGAAGAAGTATATTGATCAGTGGCTTTGAATTTGGTTGTTGTGTTGGGTGCGGGTGTGCCTGAATCGGACCTGTTTTGTATCTTTTGGCGTTGAACCAGCATATCTTTCAGTTTCATTTACTCGTAAATCTACTAATGTTGTCCAAGTTGTCCAACACTGGGCTGCAAATGAGCCATAGGTCGATCGTGACTTTGGCCAATGTCGCATCGGCTAGTGCAA